AGACCGACAACATAGTTACTTTAGGGTTACTAGCCCATGGGTAACCTCCCTACGTGCGCACTAGACCATATAGAGGGACTATCCCCCGTACTAGAACCACGTCCTAGCCATAGTCAAACAACGACATCCCCAAGTTTCCAAAATCAACAAGTTGTGCAACAACGCATATATCAACAGGAATATGCAAGATAATCAACTATCTACCAAGCACAACCAAATTTGGAAACCTATACAATACATGCTCTAAGTCCACAACTAATATGATGTGATGAATGTCGAATCTTCAGTGTGTGATTCGTTACACGCTATGCATGAATGATGTTAAATACGAAATGTGCAAATCATTACACAAGGCAACAATATATTCAATAAGGAAAACATATTCTCATGAGTATAAACATAGCAACTATGTTATCCAATGTTCAAAACATAACCAAATGAATATACAACAAGTCTAAGTCCATGATTTGAATATAGAAACCATTTCTAAAACACAACTAGATCATGGAGCAAATTGATAGAATTTAAATAGATAAACACAAATAAATTCTCTAAATTTCCGATTCAATTTCAATTAAGCTCAATTTAATACATGTTAAAGGGCATAGCAAGGTCATCACCTATATCCATTCTAAAACTCAATTAGGTTGTTAGAACAACAAAGTAGAACTTTAATTAAATCATACTAATTTAAATCACAAGGTTCTAAAACAACTTCAAATAGTCCCAAATTAATATATACTAGTAAATAAGTCATGGCCAATACAAACATCAAGTTAAAACCTTAATTAAGCTAATGGGACCACAAAATAGATTTTAATTAATTCTTTTAATTAAAATCTCTAGATTTTCAAACTTAACCAAATGCTCTCAAATTAACCTATGTTGGAAAACATGCCAAGGACTAATGTAATATCACATTACAAGTTTATTTCATTCAATTTATAACCATGCGAATTAAACTTTCACTAAAGTTAAATATAAAACAAAAGTTGCAATTCTTATGCAATAAATCCCAATTTAATACATGTGAACAACCATACCAAAACTTAATTTTCTAGCATGCCACAATACAATTCCAAGTTGTATATCATCATGAGGATTAAATCTTAAACATGGAATTTAATTAAATAAAAGGTTTCAAAACCTAACCGAATATTATAAATCAAATATATGTGAAGCTATATGGCATGTAAATCAAGAATATCAAGTCGGAATTCAAATAGAGTGAATAGTGCACTCGGGGCAAATTAATTAATCAAATTAATTAATAATTACTAATTTTCAAAACACCTCCAATTACTTTCAAATTCAACTATGTTGGAGAGCATGCTATGGCCTAATTTAATATGCTAACACATATTGATTTCAAGCTAGTTAAGGCCATGTGAATTATTCTTTCACCTAAGATAAATATTAAATAAAATCTTTAATACTTATTCAAATGTTCCAATTTTAATACACGACAATGAGCATATCGAGGGGCAATATAAAATCATGCTATATGTTTAAACCAAGTCATGACCAACCGGAAAAATTAGATCCCGTACAAGAAAAATAAATAATAAAATCTCTAGATTTTATATTTAATCATGCAAACAAGTAGTATAAGCATCACAAGCATGCTATATAACAGGAATTTAAACCTAGAACATCTCCTACCTCAATTTGAGATAAAAATCTCAAAAGCCATCAAAATGGAACAGCTCCGAATCCGACGAAACTACTAGGTTTTGTTGGGGACAATGCCGTGAACATAACCCCCATCAAAGCCCCATCAAAATCATAACTTGACCTGAAAACTAAACTCAAAAAATGGTCAAAACTGAATTCTAATAAGGGGGAAAGGTAGAGCACGGCGAGGGGAACAACAAACGTTAAGGCTGAAGACTTTCCATCAAGGAAAAGTGAACCAAAAGAGGAGAGAGAAGATGGCAGCACCCCTTAGGCTGCCATGGGAGCTCCAGGTAGTGCATGAAGAGGGGAGAAGATGAAAAATGAAATATCTCACCCCCCTTTTATAGAAATCTCAAAAAGTGCCCCGAACGAGCCCCGCCGGGTCCGAAAAAGTAAAATTTGAGTAGACGCACTCAAATGGCAAAACTTTGTGGATGAAAAAGATTCAAAATGATAAGATATGAATAACGGAAGAAACAGCGTCAAAAACCAAGTCCCGAGCAGAAAGTTATGCCCAAAACAAGTTTGGCGCAAACTAGGGCCAGAAACCCTGAAACTGGAAAACATCGACCAAGAGGAAATTCCAAGAGTACACAACTCGACAAAATGTGAAAATGAATCATGTACGAGGATCCAGGCTCAAAACAAGACATTTTGCAATAACTTTCATTAATTGCACAATGGCCCCTCCAAAAAGTGAAAACTGCACTTATAGCCCAGAATGAAAATATCTTCCTAAAATATTTTCTTAAAAACCCCTAAAATAAAATATCTTCAAAAGATATTTACAAAAAATACCCCAAGAAAAGAAAATAATTTCAAAGAATTTTGTATCCATGCCCCTATGGACACCGTGAGTTACCAGAGTACTTTCTTGCAAAAGTAAAGATACGTATTTCGAGGAAACCACTCAAGATGAAGGCACGTGAAGTCAAAAACCAACTCCGAGCATGAGAAGTGAGGTTGTGCCAACAATGTGACAAATGGGAAAAAGACAGAATAGGGAAAAAGGACGAAATAGCGCATAGTGTCCAAAAACGAAAAATGCGAAAATGACTCAATCCTCAAAGGAAGTTGTCAATTCACATGAAAGAGTCTCAGAAACCAATTCTGAACACTCGAGATGACACTAAGCGACACGAAACAGAGCTCAGAAAAGAAAATTAAACGAAAAAAATTCATTCGTAAAATTTTAGGAAAAAGGAAAGGAAGGCAAATGACCGGGTCGTTACAGTACCAGAGAATAAAAATTTTACTTTTGGAAAAGAAAATTAATGTTGCGTTTGGTGAAGAAATGGGCCTGTTTAGTAACAGGAATAATTTCTGATTTTTACTTTCAATTCCTAAAATTGAGAATCAAAAGTAAAGATCATGTTTAATAAAATACTTTTATTTTTTTACATTAAGAAAGTACTTTCTAAGAAGAGAAAGTTAGAAATCCTTACTTTCTCAATTTTCTACACTGTTCACGAAAATTACTTCCTCTACTGTAGCACTGTTTATAATAAATAAAAAATAAAAAATTCTAACTATCTCTCACCACCATCTCCTCCACCCACCTCCTCCCCACCATTGTCATCGCCGCTGCCACCTCCTCCCACCATAGCCTCTGCCACGACCATCTCTCTCCTCTCTCATACACATCAAAACCTATCAACAGTATATCCAAATTAACTTCAACCAGTCACAAAAAAAAAAAAAAAAAAAAAAAAAAAAAAAAAAGAAAAACGGAGCTCTCTTCCACCATAACCGTCAACTTATCGGAAAACCCAGAACCTGCTAGAAGTGAAAGCGACGGCGTGGAGCCCTTTGAGGCCCAGATACTCGACAATTTTGCGAAAAGAGTAAGAACCACAACCTAACCCATGTACAATGAGTATGTTATTGGATTTGATGGGTCCATCTTGAATGGCGAAGACTTCAATTGGGGGTGATTTGGGGGTGGTTTGGACCTTGATGGTTCGACCGGTGGAATAGTGGTGGCGGAGAGTGGTGGGGAGAGTGAGGAACCAAGTTTTGGGATCTTGTGGGGTGAGGTGAGAGAGAGAGACGAATAGGAGGGTGATGAGAGAGGCTGAGATGGGGTTGGGGTGAGGTGGGTTTGTGGTGAGGCAGATCTGAAATTTTGTGGGGTAAGGTGAGAGAGAGAGAAAAAAAGAGGAGGGTGATGAGAGAGACTGAGATGGGGTTGGGGTGAGGCAGATCTGAAATTTTGAGGGGTGAGGTGGGAGAGAGAGACGAAGAGGAGGGCGATGAGAGAGACGAAGAGGAGGGCGATGAGAGAGACTGAGATAGGGTTGGGGTGAGGCAGATCTGAAATTTTGTTATCTTCGTCCCAATCTCTTCGTGGTTGGTGGCAGTCTATTCCCGGCATCAATTGCAGCAATGATGATATATATATATATATATATATATATATAACATTGATTGTCAAATATAAAGCAAAATCAACATTATAATTATTAAACTTGCTTTCTAATTTCTTGCTTTGAAAATATTGAAAGTATAAAAAATTAGTAAACATAATTCTACTTTATATTTCAGCTTTAGTAATGAAAATTATGATTTTACTTTTAAAGAAAGTAAAAGTAAGAAAGTGAAAGCGTTAGTAAACGGGCCCTTATGTTTGGTGTACAAGAAAAGAGGAGAGATGAGGAAAAGCAAAGGAAAAGAGGAAAGATAAGACGAGGGATGAACTAGGAACTCAAACTTAGAATTGCCAAGGAGTCTTAAGTCCTAGTCTCTTATTCTTTTATAATAAAGAAAGTAATTGTACAGCTGATTATATTTTCTCCATACATTAAAAATTTTCTATTACTGCTTTAAATTATTTTCAGCATAGTCCATTAGGGTTAACTATATTCGGCCTATATCATGGCATCCACTTTGTTCACTTACAAGTCCTTTCTTCATATTTGAAAAGTATAACCTAAGTCCCGATATATCAAACAGAATGGGAAACAAGAGCGAATTTGAATATAAGAGCGCAAAAACGACAAAATCTAAGTCACACAGAATTGGAACATGAATGAAACCACAAGCGTGAGAGCTGCATAAGAATTGAGTGAATTAGTATATACGAGATCGTAAATTGCTAGTCTAAACTGCATTTCAGTTCCAAACAGACATTTTGAAGTATAAATTCTTTTTTAAGTGTCTAAATTCAGCATCTAAATCAGGCATATTTAATACCATGACACCAATACTTTAGAAGTGTCTAAACCCCCTGTTTGTATCTGCTGCATCTTACTATCAACATAAACAAATACAATGAGTTACCAATACCATCTGAAACCCTGAGCAGTGAACCATAAACGCTCAGATTTAAGCAACCAAATCCAACTAAAAAATTAAACACAACAAACAAAAGAACAAGACAAAGTACAGTTACCATAGCATCAGAATTTTAAGCCTTCATCCTAAGATATGAAGTAATACAGTTCAAAAGAAAAGAAAAAAAAATATAGAACATATAAGGTGGAAAAAAAAAAAAAAAAAACTAGGCATCTATGGTAAGAGGGCATTATAACGATATAAAGCCTCAATCCTTAATGCTCTCCGGTGCAGATTTCACTTCTTGGATTTCTTAGAACCCCTACATTAAAAAAGAAAAAAAAAAAAAACGGTTATCAAAATAACATCGCAACCACCTATTTTAGTAAGCAACATATAGTTTCCTAATACTTACTGAGTTGGTTGAGCTGGAGGTGCAGATGCTGTCGCTGCTGGGGGCTGAGGTGCTCTCTCTCCAGGTCCCTTGGAGATTAATTGAAAAACATAACAATAAGCAATCAAAATTCCATGTAACATAAACAAGAGCTCCATATAACACAAAATCAAAAACCCACAACTTTAGGTTTTTCATTTAACCATATAAAGGCATCTAGGCACATGAAATGAGAAATAAATTTAGTGAGTTAAAATGTATGTACTTATTCACTGTCGTCCTAAAAAGCATCTGTACGTGCGAGAGAGAGTCCACTAATCACATGGAATCTGTCACACCTCCACAATATTTAAGCCAACCATGTTCTACCACATCAGTAAAAGATCACAAAACTATCTCCTATTTTTAGTAGTGTAGATGGGTTGATTTTTGGGGACAGAGGAGGACTACATTTAACATAAAATATTTAAAACCATCTCCTATTTTTCATAAAATAAAGGTTCCCAGGATCTATGTGTTTTACCTGGGCGAGACGCTCCTCTCTCCTAGCAAACTTCCTTTCCCTGCTTGCTTTATTCTTTGCTCGCTTAGCCTCAAACTGGTCGGACAAGGTCTTCTCTCTTGCCTTTTCAGCCTTGGATTTGTGTATGCTCTCCATTAATACTCGTTTGTTCTTAAACACATTACCTTTCACCTTCATGTACATGTCATGATACATGTGCTTGTCAATCTTCTTTGATTCCCGATACTTGCGGAGCAAACGCCTCAGCACCCTCATCCTCCTCATCCATAGTATTTTTGTGGGCAACCTTGCCTCCCTTGTACCCTTGCGTTTACCTAAAATCATTCGAGGAAACAGCATAAAAAAGAGTTTCCACACCACTCAACCACAACTGTAGCAAGAACAGCAGAGTGCCAATCCGCATGGCACCTATTACAGGCTTACAAGAATAAAAGTGAAAGACGACAGTCTAGCCAACACTAACCAATATATCTACTTTACCATGACAATAATTTTGTTTTCTTTATTTTGTTCCAATCTTTTTCCTGCTTGTTTACTGTTAAGAGTAAAATCTTATCTAATGGTTATTTTTTCATATAAATATGTTCATAGTTACAATTTCTATATAAATGTAATATGATTTTGGGTGACTTTATTCGATAAATATGATTTTTACACTTTAATATAAATGTCTTAATAGAAAATTTACCCATCTAAAATCAATATAATAATACAGAGTACAAAATTTAAAGGGTTCATGGTACCCTGAAAACTTAAAACAAAATTGTTGCAATTCAAATAATTAAAACATAATAATACCATATCCAGAGTGACGGCCCTTTCTCTTGGCCTCCTTCATCCGGCGAGCACGAGATCGTGAGTGAATCTTGGTTGGTTTCCTGATGATAAAACCATCCTTGACAAGCTTTCTGATGTTTTGCCCTACAAGCAATAAACCAAACAAATTACATTAACATAAACCAGAATACAAGGAATAAAGATCGACCCCAAAAGAAAGATAAATGACCTAACCAAAAACATAACATATTAGTCTTGTAGTAGAATGAAAAAAAGAAAAGAAAAAACCCAAGTAGTTAGGATAAAACTTTGTTGTGTTGAGTATTAATCTCATATAACATTCTACAAGAGCACTAACAGCATATAATGTATTACTGTCCATTCACTATCCTTGAATTCAACTTCAGAAAATTAAACATAACCTAGAAAGGCTATAATTATAACACTTGAGCGTTTTAACTTATGTGAGTATCAGAGAGAGGTGAATCATTCACATTAAAGGAGTAGATATTGGGTGCGCCAGGCATGCCAAGTCACAAGTATACCCACCCAATCAAATGGAAAATATTATTTTGTTATCAGTCATTTTACAAGTAGGTGGGCCAACTTTTTTGTGAAATGATGCATTGTCATTGGTCAGGCATACCAAGTGGCGCACCCAATATCTACTCGAGCTTAAGGCCTTACTTTGAAATTACCAACACTGAATGATTAAGGGACTGGTGCAAACACTTATCAAAAAAAACAAAAAGGGACTGGTGCAAACACCCAGGTTTGGCCTCTTTTAAAAAATTACAACAAATCACTTTAATTCCAATAAATAATAATTCAATCATCAAGAACTGTAGGATATAAATAAGATTGGTTCCTTTCCAAAATCGAACCATAAGTTCATGAATAACTTTAGATTTAAAAACATCCCGACTATTGCATAAATTATACAAGGGCTACATATATGTATGAAAGCATATACAGTGACCTAACGACCTTAATTCATCCTAATTTTGCAATACCCTTTAAATGAACATAGTCACAATCTTGCTCATAAATAACTTTACCATTTTATTTTCCATTCTTACAACAATCTAAAACTGATATGCTAAGTTGATAATAGTAACAAATGTAACGGAATCAACTCGAACAAAGAGCGAACATATCATCAAGATATGAAGTGATACAATTAAGAAAATGCGTATATAAGTATATCCATATATATATATTTATATTGATCCATGTATAGTGATAGGAAAACGTACGAGAGTTAGCCATGGAGATTTCGTTCACTTCATTGGGATCAAGCCAAACCTTGCCCCTCCCGCACTTAAGAACGCTGGCGGAAAGCCGCTTCTGGAGCTTGAGCGACACCATCTCCCTGTCTGTGTGCTGCGAATGAGAGAGGAGACAAATGAGAAGACGATTAGGTTTTTTATATCAAGGGTTTTTAGAAGGGCTTTTCTTTACTTGGGCTTTCGGATGGGCTTTGTAGACATTGAATCCAACCCAACAACGTAACTTGACAAAGTTTTCATTTATTTACAAGAAAAATGATTTAAATATTAAGAGGTCATGTTTTGAATCTTGTAAGGCGGCCTTATTTGTTTGGATCACAATATCATTGTTCAAAACTGAAGTTTCTAAATTGATCTGCAACTCTTGAACTGGTTTAGGATTCTTTGAACCGGTTCAAGATGACCAGAACTTAATTTGAAGAATCCTTTTGATTCTTGAATTAGTTCAGTATTTCTTAAACCGGTTCAAGATAGTCAGTCTTGAATCGTTCATAAATCCTCGGATGTTGAACTTGTTCGCTGAATTCTTGAACCTGTTCCCTCCGATGTTGAACCTATTTGCTGAATTGTTAAACTAGTTCAAGTTGGGCAGAAAGCATTTTTTTTTCTTAAAAACTTCCAAAACCTCGTAAGTGTTCTCACATACTCACAAAAACTTCCCAAAGCATTATTCTCATCATCCCGCATCCGATCTTCAATTTTGAAATTTTGAACCGAAAAATTACAACTGGACTTGTTTTGACAACGAAATTAGTCAATTACAAAATATATATCTTATATTCTTTGTCACAACCACTCTAAATACCTCTCAAGTAAGAATGTGATAATGTTTTATGACACCGTGTTTTTAATATAAATTTACTTATCGTTCTTCCATCTAATGTTTTGCATATTTTGTATAAGGGAATTTCTTTTTTTTAAACGTTCTTTTAAGTCCCTTTTACCTTGGCTCCTTATGGGCTCTATAGACGCGTCATAATTATCATTCCTAAGTCCAATTTTTATTTGTCAACTATATTAGATTTTTTAGTTACTGATTATCGTTGTTCCATATTAAAATGTTCTATATTATAATCTGAACTTAAACCGGAGAAGGCTATGATCTGGTGAATTAATCTCTCCCTTTGTATACATTAAGGAAGTTGAATTGGCTTAACAATGTCTCATTTTGTAGAAATTTAATTTTTTTCTTCCTAACACTGTTTAAATTTGTTTGCATTTTTGCTTTGCCAAAGGTTCTGGAGGTATCTGTTGACGAAATTTCCAAAGTTAACTTCTTGTGATGAAAATTCAAAGGTTTTGGAGTGGGATGTGATATTGGTGGTACCGCTTTGCCAACATTAATGTAATGAAAGCAATACTTCCATCTAAGAGAGAAAAGAACATGAATAATCAGTTAGACAACCAAGAGTTTACAACAAATACCTAGGAAGCTTGACTCCGTCTATTTAAACGTAAGAATTATATTTTCTGGTGTTTGGTTGTCGTAAAATATTTACGAAAAAAAAAAAATTAAAATTTAACAAAAATAATTTATCCATCAATTTTCGGCAAGTTACATGTCTCGCCCGATGGACTCGACCTTAACCTCGACATAGACCTTTGCCCAACACCGACAAAGTAAAAATAAAAAAATATTTTACCTGAAAAAGAAAAATATTTTTCAAAAAGAATATTTTACGTCGAAACAAATTGAGAAAATGGTAAACTACTTGAACACTTATTTTGGCAAAACTTATATTTATGAAGATTGTTAAATCTATTTCACAAATTTTACATTTTCTTGCATGTACCTTGTATCAGCTATTTTGGGATTATGTGATTTTTCTTATTTTCAGTGTAGCTTAGCAGCTTGTCTTGGTTTAGTTTGTTGCTTTTGGGTCAATTTCAAAAACGTGTTGATGGTGGATTTTGACAAACCCGTTACCCAGTATTGGATCTCTTAGGTGTTTCAGTTCATACTATTTTCGGTGGCTTTCCATTGTAAATTTCATCAAAAAGAAATGAAAAATCGGAGAAAATAGATTTTTATCGCTGCATATTTTTGTGAAGGAGTAGTTTTGAATTTTAGGAATTTATGTGATTGAAGTTTCTTGCAAATGATGATTGTATTCTAGTGAATGGACTATAACACCTTTTCAATCCACTTCTTTGGCAACCCTTTTTCTATAATATCTCAACTCTCAAGTCCACTGCTGTGAACTAGCAATCTTTTAAATTTCTACATCATGAATTAGTTGTGTGCCATTTTATAGTTCATTGCTGTTTATGGGTTGTGTTATTTTAAATTTTATCTTCTCATTGAATTTGGTGAATTGGTTTCAGCAAGATGATCAGTCATTGATTACCTTTCTGTGCATGTTGCTCTCAATTTTATATAAATTTCCTATTAACATCAATTATCAACAAATTAATTCATCGTATAATTTCTTTAAAAAAAAAAAAAAAAATTAAATGCAGGTTTGAGGAGAATATATCTAGAAAGGAAATAAATTCTCTGATTTCAAATTCTAAGTCTCAACTTTTTTCAAAATGCTCATGAGCTTACACTACGCGAAATTATTAGAAAACTTACATCTTTAAATTTTATTGTTAAATATCTATTTTAACAATTTTCAATGATTTTCAATCATTGACTCATTACTCCATCGACAAACTTCTAAATTTGAAAGCCACGATAAAATTTTTTAACTTACTTAATCAAAACTAAAAAGTTTTTTCCATTATTAAATTAACAAACTAACATATAACATATGCCAAATGAATATATATATATATTTTTATAAGTAAATAATTTAATTAAATAGTTATTTATTAATACTAAATGATGGAGTGGAGATTCGAACCCTAGTATTTGGCCACAAGCAACATGTGACAAGTGAATTTTAGGAGAAGATAAAAAGTTGCAAAGGAAAGGCTTTTTTGTTCTTCCTAAAGATAAACAACACAAAATATGATGTTGTCTCAACTAGTTTCGTAGCGAGAAATAAGTTCCATTTGAAGACAATACAATTGAAGAGTAGAAGCAAAGGAAGCCAAAAGAATAAAATGCTGACTTATTTTCTTCTTATTTTGGCCTAAATGAATTATATGTTTCTATTACAATGTTTACATTTTAGATGTTACCGTTGTAATCTTTATTTTGATATTGAAATTTTAGATAACGGCTATAAAGATGCATAATTTTTATTTCTTTTCAAAGTATAAAGATGTGTAATTTATCACGTCTTATACAACAGGCTACATGTGGAATCTTCAATGATTTATATAAGGTTTTCTTGCTTAGTGAAACATATGTTATTTTTTCAAATAAAAAGTTTTCGCAATTGTGTTTATATATATATATTGAAGGGACATAAAATCCCAGTGGGCCAAATTCGACCCGCCCCACCAGTTAAGAAGGAAGTCCAGCGACTCTCCAGCCCACTCGTTCTCACTCAGGGCCTGTCCTGAGTGATGGATCGGCCCAAGAAGGGATCATGCCACTTTTGTTTTTAAATTTAGAAACTAAACGAGGGATTTTAGGGCAAGTGTAGTCTTCTATAAATAGAGGGGGGAGAGAGAAAAGAAGGGGTTTGGTTGGAGTTTAAGAAAATTCTTCCCCAATATAGAGAATATTTTCTTGTATCTTCATATGTATGAAATTACCTTAAAGTTTGGAAATAATACATGTTTAATGTAATTTTTTTTTTTTAACAATAATGTTTTGCATTTTTGAAAATTTAAAATTTTCATAATGTTTACAAATTAAAAATGTAATTAGTGAAAAACAAAATTGGAATTCCTTAATGTTTGGAAAGAACACACGTTTAATGTAAATTTTTTAACAATAATGTTTTAAAAATTTTAAAACTGTTTAGAATAGGAAATATACAAATTAAAAATGTAATTAGTTAAAAAAAAAAAAAAAAACTGGAATTATTTAAAGTTTGGAAATAACACATGTTTAATGTAATTTTTTTTTATAACAATAATGCTTTTGTATTTTTTTAAATTTTAAAAATATTGAAAAATAGGAAACAACTATTTAGGTTCTGAAATAAATATGTGTGCATTTAAAGAAATATATATATATGCACTTATATATGGAAAGAGCCATATATACAAAAGAATGTGAGGAATCAAATTAAAAAAGTGTAATTAATGAAGAAAAAAAATAGAATTCCTTAATATTTGGAAATAACACACATTTTAATGTAAATCTTTTAATAATAAGTTTAAATACACTATACGAAAAGTATGTACAAAAGAATATGAAGAATCAAATTAAAAAAGTGTAATTAATGAAGAAAAAAAATAGAATTCCTTAATATTTGGAAATAACACACATTTTAATGTAAATCTTTTAATAATAAGTTTAAATACACTATACGAAAAGTATGTACAAAAGAATATGAAGAATGAGATTAAGAAGTGTAATCAATGGAAAAAAAAAAAAAAAAAATTTCCATAATGTTTGGGAATAGCACATTTAATGTACATCTTTCAACAATAATATTTTTGTATATGTATCCATTTAAAACAAAATTATCTATGCACTTATATATGGAAGAAGCCATATATGTAAAAGAATATGAAGGATCAAATTAAATAGAGTGTAATTAATGAAAAGAAAATGGAATCCCTTGGTTTTTATTTCTTTTTAAATTTTATAACTCTCCTTGTAAACAAAGAGTTTCATTAATTACCAACTCTTTATTTTTAAAATTTTCGTTCTTTATTTCATAGTCATTGTTATGGACCTAACTTTTATAATAATGTTTGGAAATAACACAAATGTAATGTAAACTTTTTAACAATAAAGTTTTTAAAATTTCAAAATATATACAAATTAAAATTGTAATGAGTGAAAAAATGGAATTCCTTGGTTTTTATTTTTATTTTACGACTCTACTTGTAAACGAAGAGTTTCATTAAATATCAACTCTTTCATTTTTCAAATTTTCTGTTAATGTATTTTTTATTTCATTGTCATTGTTGTGGACCTAAGTTTTATAATTGTATTTGCATATATTATTATTTTATTCTAACAACTTGATATTTATTTTTTACTATTTTATGTAATTTTTAATTATATGCATGAACATCATTATTATTATTATAATTATTATATATAATATAATA